CGTTTAAACTTGTCACCCCTTGTCCTGTCACTCCCTGCCCTTGGAAAACGTCCCCCCCAGCTTTCTTGTACCCCCCCAGGCACTGCAAGGGGCTCTGAGGTCTCCTCGGAGCCTTCTCTTCTCCAGGCTGAACCCCCCAACTCTCCCAGCCTGTCCCCATGGCAGAGGGGCTCCAGCCCTCGGAGCATCTCCGGGGCCTCCTCTGGACTCGCTCCAGAGCTTAATCCAGTGTTCAGCCACCCTCATGGTAAAAATAGGGTTTTGCGGTGTTGATACTTGTGTCTGTTGCCTCCAGTCCTTGCTTTCAGTACTTCTCCGAAGCATCTGGCTTCTTAGAATCCAGCTGTAAGAAAGTAGAAAAGTGCCACTTTACTCCCTCGCACCCCAAAGTAAACAAGCCCAGCTCTTTTCTGGGCCCTGTCCCCTCGCCATCTCGATGGTGACCCTCTGCTGCGCTCACTTGGTTTGCCAGTAGCTCTGGTGTGTCAGTGCTCCAGGCCTGGTGCAGCATTCCAGGGGTGATCTGATGAGTACCAAGCAGAGGGGTCAGTTCTCTTGGCTTGTTTCTTGGCCTTCTGCTAGTGCAGGAAGGAGCACATTCCATGGGCATTTGCTCTCAGTTTTCTAGGTAGGGGAGCGATACTGGCTAGTTTGTAATTCCCCAGATCCTCTCTTGTGTGGGGTTTTTCTTTTTTTTTTGGAAGCTGGCATACGTTTGTCGTGCCCTACCCCATCACTGGGGGTCTGCACCAGTTGCAGTGATCTCTCAAGAAATAATAGTGAGGTCTCGTTGTGTCATCGCCCTTCTCCTTCAGCATCTTTGGGTCCATCCTGTAGAGTTTGTGTTTTTATGTCAGGCTTACTTCAGTAGTCCCCAGCTCTGTCTCCCGTGGCAGAGAAGAGCTGATGTTGGAGGGCTGAGAGTGAGGAGGGAGGCAAGAAAAGCATTGAGTACCTCAGCGTTTTCCATGTCCGGGGAAGGTGTCCCCATGCTGTTCAGCACAGCCCCTTGTTTGACAAAGCTTTTCATGTTCCCCTTCACTTCCAGAACTGTAGGATTCTTTATTTTGCCTTATTCACTGCTGAAGTTAAGTAGGTTTGCTGAAGTTAAGTAGGTTTACAAAAAAATCCCAAATAAGACAGGTTTTAGAGCCATGGTGTGGTTTGACGTGAGTTAGAGAGACTACACGTATTTAAGGAAATGGATTTTGATTGGTTGCCACCATCAGAATTAATTGAAACCAACCATCAGCTCCCACTGGGAAAGTCATTAGATGGTGGCAACATTTGCCCGAGTTAGCAGCAAATGCTGTGTGGTACAGAATTAAATCCTTCTGATGTAGAAACGGCATCGTTCCAGGCTGGTTGAGTTTCCAGACATTGGTATGAGGATGTAATTTTTGGAATACTTTGAATTTCTTGTAGAAATTACGGAGTTTTTTTCTCTCTGCAGAAATTAATTTCAGAACTTCAGAAAATGTTTTCTACAAAAAATGAGACTTACGTGTTAAAATTATGGCCGCTCTTTGTCAAACTACTTGGAAAGGTAAGCGGAAAAGTAGTTAAGTTGTACAGTCGTGAATCTTTAGGGAAGGGATTTCTCACAACATGAATACTTAATTCTGAACTTCTTCATCTTCAGACTCTGCATCGTAGTGGCAGTTTTATCAACTCATTGCTGCAACTGGAGGAACTTGGATTTCGTAGTGGCTCACCAGTGGTAAAGAAAATAGCCTTCATTGCATGGAAGAGTCTAATAGATAATTTTGCTCTAAATCCAGGTAGATTAAAAAAAGTTAACCTGAATTGTTTTGACTACTGTCACTTTACATAAGAGGAAGAAAATATTCTGTCTAAAGGTGGTCAGTGCTACGGCACACGCCACTGGATGCACACGTAGTGTATCTGTGGTATATCCGTAGTGGTATGTACTGTGTGTGTGTACAGAAATGAAATTCACGCTTGGTTTTGGTGGTTTTTTTTAAGGAAAAGTGACAGTTTCATCAGTAGTTCTATCGTAATTTGTCTGCCAAGAGAAATGAATAGGATAAAATGAACATACCTTTCTTGTGCAGTGCTTTAACAACAGCAATCCAATAGGGAATAAAACATTGTGTAGGCTAATTACCTGTGTGGATTAATTGGTGAAGAGCAAGGCTTCTATGGGCAAGAATTTTAGAGGTGTTAAAGTTGCTTTAAAACCGAGACCTGAACAAGGCATGAGTCTAGCCTCTGTTAAAACACAACAGTGTTTATTTTTCACCTTGACTGGGCTTCTCCTCACTGTCTGTCCCGAAGAGGATGTGGCCATTTCTCAATTTGGCCGAAATTAACTTCGGTTGTCGTTTTAATTTGTTTCTTATCTGGTCGTTTGTTCTGGTCATTGTTTCCCATAAGTTAATTAACAAAGGATTTGATTCTTTCAGAAGATAAAATCCATGGCACAACGTTTGTTGTGCTAACGAGGATTGCAGCAGCAAAAGCAGCTTCTGTCAGCAGCCTCTTGCAAATTGCAGGTGGACAGGTTCTGGTGCTGCTGAGCTGGCTAAAAACTTCTCTTCATGGAACACTTGTACAGGCTTGAGCAAACTTCTGTCCAGACATGCTATGCTATTTCTGATTTAGTGGTAAATGGTCATTTGCAGGCTTGGTACGGTATTTAAGATCGTTCATTCTCATCAGCAGTAATTCACATGCTTGTGAAGTGTTTTTCTTTAATTGTGGCATACAGGGTGCTCTAACATAGCAAGCAGGAGTGAATTTCCTTCTCTGTTGGTATTCAGTAGCTTTCATTACAGTCTTGGTGTCAGAAAGAAATAGTTGCTGTTTCCAGGGTTGTTCTAAACAACAATCAGAACAGTAAAACAGTCTGAAAGCTTGGTGTGTTTACTCTGTATTTTAGTTTTGCAAATTGTCATTAATTGGATTTTAAACTAAAATAGATGAGGAAAAAAACTTAAAATATGCTCTTTTTTGATCTTCAAGATATATTGTGCAGTCCTAAAAGGCTGAAATTGCTCATGCAGCCACTGAGCTCGATCCACGTGAGAACAGAGGCTTTGGCACTGACAAAGCTGGAGGTCTGGTGGTATTTACTCATGAGGCTGGGACCTCAGCTGCCTGCCAACTTTGAACAGGTAACACAACTGAACACAGTCATAGCACAGGCTCTTAGCCTGGGTTGAGCGGGTGGAGTTAAGTCCCCTTTTTGTTACTGTAACTTATTCTGGACCTGCTTTGTCCTTCTTTAGTTTGTTATTAAAATACAACAGTTGTGAGGAACCAAATCTGACTTGTGTACTTGGGCGCTGTGTGTGTATGTGTTATATATAGCACTGTGCATGCAATCTTATGAAGATCCAGATAATTAGGGGGTGTACGTGTGTGTCACGTGAGCATCTCTGTGGGAATCTCCAGTGAGTGCCTGCTCTGTAAGGACTGCGTTGTCCTTCCCCTGTGCAAGCATGTGTTCTGGAAAGCACCGTAGGAAAATGTACTGAGAAGTTCACAAAATATTTAGAAAGGTGCACAGAGAGAAAAATGATCCAAGTGTTTCATTGCTACTCACATTATAATTGGAATGAGCATAATGCTTCTCTTAGGCTTTTGAATTTCATTAAATTAAACTTCAGGATGGGAGTAAAGGAAAAAAACCCTACCATTTTAGGTATGGTACACTTGAATCATTCTAACATGAGTTTTTGTTTAATCTAGCCATTTCTAATTCATGTATCAGTGCATATTTTATACAGCACCTTAAACATACTGTTAAAAGTACCCAGAAACACTGATGCTGTGAACAGCAGTACAGTCTGTGTGATCTTTGAAATGTGTGGTTCTGCATGGCTTACAGCTTGCCTGTGTTCACTGAGGTTTGGTATCTTTGCAGGTTTGTGTACCGTTAATCCAAAGTACTCTGAGTCTAGATTCTTCTGCTGCACCCCAAGGAACTCCTTCACGTGTACAAACCAGCCAGAGTTTTGCCTCGGCAACCCCTGTGCAGAAATCAGGTATTGAAGCACAAGCCTGTTTCCGACTCCCTTCTAGATGCAGCAAGGAAGCCGTTCTGTGTGACGCGTTCATGCTTTTTGTTTGCAACATAGTGTTACTGAAAACAGTTGTCTTTGTGCATGTTCCTTGGATGAGGTGTCGGCTTACAGCGGAGGAGGCTGTTGTACTGAGTATTTCAAGTTTGCAAGATTCCAGTTCCCCATCCCTGGCTGTCTTCAAGGCCAGGCTGGATGAGGCTTGGAGCACCCTGGTCTAGTGGAAGGTGTCCCTGCCCATGGCAGGGGGTAGCACTGGGTGGGCTTTTAAGGCCCCTTCCCACCTGAACTGTTCTGTGATTGTGCTGATCAGTTGTGTTGAGGACCATCCTTTATGTCTGGATTGGTGTTCCCTTTTGCAAGGGAGCTGTGGCTTGAAAATGTATTTTTTCCTGCATTCATATATGTGCTATTTACATACGCCATTCTCATTTGCATAGCACTTCTAGTTTCTGCCTGGATAGTAGCCCAGTGATCATGATACACCAGTAATTTCGTTACTTTAAATACATGTGAAATTACACCTACTTGAGCTTTACATCTAAATGCCTGAGATAAGGAGCTGCCTTTTTCTCCTCTGTATGGAAAGCTCGCATTCACGCCTCGTGCAGCTCCAGACTGCTGTAGTTGGACACCTCAGATATGTTGTGGAAGTCTCCTCGATGTGTTGATCTTCCTTTGTTCCCTTTTTTAAAAAACAGTAGTTCATCTTAGCACTGTGAGGTTGTAACTGAGGTTGATCAAAATGCTTTACGCAGGATTGCTCTGAAACTTGTGCTCGGCGTAAAAGCTGCTGAGGGTAACTTTCACAGCAGTGGAGTTTCCACGTAACTAGGATACAGCGTAGCACCGGGCTTGCTCTGTAACCACAACTTCCAGGGAGACTTCTGTTGCCACAATTAAGTTTGGTGTCTCAGACTTTGATCTCTAAAAGATTTTTATGCTTCCAAAATAACAGTTGTAACGGTAACATTAAACCCTACTTAATAGGAGTGTGGGCTTAGATACCCTTCTGGCTGGTAGAGGTCCCTTTCAGCCAGTGCTATTCTATGATCAGTTCTTCTCACGTTAACTTTGGGGTTTTGATCTGTTGGATCTGTCACTGGTTGCAGGTGAAATACAAGACAATGTCCTTTTCCTCCCCTCACGTAGGTCCTCACCCATTTGCAAGTCCCGCCACACCGAGGATAAACTTGAATTCTAGTGCAACAGGAGTGGTGGTGATTCCTTCCATTCAGCTTTTGGGAATTGAAATGCTGCTTCACTTCTTCATGGGACCAGAAGTTTTAGATTTTGCTAAGCAAAACAAACTTGTACTTAGTTTAGGTATGCAAGTTACAGTTCTTTGAAGTACTTTCCTGTAATCTGAAACTTCCACTTTTGTTGGATTTAAAGATGTCTGTTAGCATGACACGCTTTAAACATCTAAAACTGTCAGTTGTCACCTTTAAAGCTGTTTTTATGTGAAATGCTGTACACATAGATATTCGATTATTTTGAAGGCTTATCTTACCTGTACACTGCAAAATGCCAGATTTACAGAACATCTCTCTTTGTCCTCCTAGAGCCTCTCCAGCACCCCCTCATCAGTAGCCCTTCTTTTTTTTGTAAGCATGCCAGCACACTTATAAACGCAGTTCGGGATGGCTTTATTGCAATTGGAAAAGAAGTTCCTGGTAAGAACTCAGTGGTGAAGCTTGATTTCTTTTCTGGAAAATGGGGCGGGGAAGGAAACCAAAGTAAAACTAACTGCTTGCTGTGACAGTCCAGCGCTGGTGTTGCATAGAAGCAGTCTGACTTTGAAAGCTGATGTCAGTTTTGGCTTACCTCAGAGTCCGTTTAGCACAGTTCGTATTTTATCTGCCATTTTCCTTAATGCTTTTATTACAAACTGAATGAAAACATTAATCTCTTTCTCTCAGATTGTATGCTGAATGCTATTTGGAAGGACGTAAATGGATATGTAAAAACAGCTATTGAATCAGGTAAAAAGTGCATTTTTAATTTGTCGTTCCTGGCCAGTTAATGGGTTGATTTACTTTAAAGACTGGACCTTCAGTAGTATTTGCTTTGTTGCTGGTGAATCTTGGGTTTAGGCATCATCAGTAGCTGTTTTCGAAGCGACAGCTGGTATGTTCATGATAACCTATTTGTGTGACAAACACAATACCTGTGATCTGATCCAGTCAAGCTTACTGGGAAGGCACGGCGGAACGTGACTGCAGGGGAATTGCATGTAGCACTGTAACTGCTTTTCTTGCTGAGGAAATTGCTCCGTTTTCCAAACAAAAAGAAAAAACTCCACCCCGAGTCTTTGGCATTGAGAAATTGAGGCGTTCAGTGTGTCACTCAAAGGAGTGGATGTAGTCTTTGTTATGTGACTGTGGCTACCTTTTTTGTCTTTAATTACATTTTATTTCCTAGTAATTTTATTTCCTTTTTACAGATGTACAGAAGTAAGGGGTTTCCTATTTCAAAACAAAGTGCTCATTACTCTCTAACAGCGTTGAAAGTGCACAATATTTACACTGAAAGATGTAACTGAAAAGCGTAGGAGGAGTGAAGTGCATTGCTTGGACAAATGCAAATTTTCACAACTTTTTTTTAGCATGTCAAAGTTAAGGAGGTTAATGATACAAAGATGTTTCAGTTTTGCAAATAAAGCTTAGGGGTTTTTTAACTTTTCAGTTTGAGAGCAGAGTTGGTATATGAATCTGTTAAGTATTCAGTATACATCTATAAATATACACAATTTTTTTTTTTTTTAAATCTTGCAGTACATCATAATTAAGTTTTAAATGGTCAGTGACTGTTATTTGTTCTGCTCTGACTGTAAATATCTTTTATTCTAGGAAATAAGAAAGAAAAGCAAGGGTCGGAAATACTGACTGTGTTGCTCCAGGCCTTAAAAAACATTGTTAGATCAGATTCTCTTCCCGTGCAGAAAATACTGGTAAGTTGAGTGGGTTTGTCTGGCTTTTACTTCTTTCTTTTTGATGCTCTAGATTGTGATTGGTAGCAGCCTTTTGCATCTAACTTCCCAGAAGGGTCTCGTCTAGAGATAGTTGTTTTGGTGTAAACTCTGAGTTTTCTCACCAGATGGCGTAGTGTTGCCGAAGGGTTTCTTCCTTTAAAAGCCTTTTTCAGATATATCAGCAGTACTTACAGAATCGGGGGACAAAGGGTTAGAATGTCCTCTCAGCAAGTTTGCTGCCCATACCAAAGTGGGAGGAGTGGGTGGGGCG